CATTACATCATTTGACCTAAATATGCATAATTTTAGACCATTTGTGTACACAAATATGTTTAATTTGAGTGTACTGAAATGGTAACTGTAACCCATTTCATATTCTGTTGAAATAAACCTATGCATCAATAGTCATAGACAGCGTTATGTTTACGTTTGGTTCAACTAATATATACTTTATCAACTTCTATCAAAATTTGCTAAAATTTTAATTTTTATGAAAACCAAACCTTGGCTATTCATTAAGGTTGTCAAGACATGCAATTCATGTGAATGCAAAATACCAATATTATTGGCTGATTGGAGGATATTTTTTAGTCCGATAACATATGAGTGGATGAAAACCATACTGGAAAATAAGTGGTCCAATACTGGAAAAGTTGCAGGATAAAGTTGTCATGGCTTGGTGAATCATTGAGATATAACTGTCTAAATATATCCACGTGCCCTTTTTTTGACTAGTAAAGACAAACTTTCATTAAGAAAAATCATCATTCTTTGGCAAATAAAGAGAAATTTTAATTAAGATCTTGTTGGGAAGGAATTTTAATCCAATTAAAATTGAAAATATAGTCGTTATTGAATCTCACTCGTCTAATAAAAGTCAACAATAACGGCTAGTTTTTCAATTTTAATCTGATTTTAATTCCTCTCAAACAAACTCTAATTGTCCACACGTACAAAAAAAAATGCAAATAAAAAAGGGAACATGAGAAAAAATTTAATTTTATTATTTTTTATCAGCCACGATCTCCTATTTTCAATTAGTAGGATAAAAACTTCTCACTTCTGATGTAACAAGAAAACCTTACTTATAGTTTTCTTCGTTTAAAAAAGATATGAGTAGAAAATGGAGCGTGGGGGATCGAATGAGATATTTTAAAAGGGTATGTATCACGAATGTTTTTGTAAAGAGGTGTATGTCTATGTCATTAAGGCGTAAGGGAAAAAGGAGCATAGGAGACCGACGCACTTGACCAATATTAAATGATGAATGTTCAACGTTAATGTTAATTGTAACCACTTTGCTATACTACCGGTAGATTTGGTCGAGTTACAAATAACATGGCTCACTACATTTTGATTGGTTATGCAATCCACCAAGAAAGCTCATGAAGTTATTGTTAAGGCTTTTTAAAAAATGAATGAAAAGGGGATACA